CCCCCACCCAACCCCCTGTTAAAAAGACCCCTGGTCACAATATGAAGTGAGAACCCTCTGACTGTGAGACAGAGTTAGGTCCACACGCCTACAGGCTCAGCCCAAACAAAAGGTGTCTAAACAAAAATAATGAATACCTGATTTTCAGCAATGATTTTATAATCAAAATAGTAAACAGAGGTATAAAATTAAATTAAATTTGAGCTTTTAGATCAACAGAAGAGATTCCACATTGTGTCCAATCCTGGTTCTGGAGACCCGCCATCCTGCACATTTTATTTGTTTCTTTGCTCCAACACAACTGCTTCAGCGACTGAATGACCTCTTCATGTTCTGCAGAAGCTCATCAATCACCTGTTCATTCAAACTGCGGTGTGTTGGAGCAGAGAAACAAGTAAAACCTGCAGGATAGCGGCCCTCCAGGACCAAGACTGCCCACCCGGGCTCTATATGCACCAGAATCATATAGTCTGCGACAACCTGAAATAAAATAAGAATTGTTATGAAACTGCTTTCAAAATAAAAGTTTGCGGTTAGGCAAAACATTCAATCCTTACAAATCCATAAAAATAAATATAGTACATAACATTCTAAAATAATCAAAGAATGACACTAAGTGTATAATACAACATTTAAATTGTACCCCGCCCCTCGCACTGTGATTGCTGGATATGGGCACCGGTGACCCATGCGACCCTGAAAGGAAGAAGCGTGTACAGAAAATGGATGGATGGATAGCTAAATGTAACAATGAGTTACATAACAATAAAATGTTAGTGGAAACAAGGATTTTACACTCAGTGAAATAAATAATGAAAATGTGTTGGCGACATTTTTTAACATTTTATTTTACACCAGGCACCACATACATTAGGTAATAAACAGTAAATAGAAATGTAAAAATAAGCTCCACCTTATAGAATGCATCTGAAAACAACCTAAAAATGTTAAGTTCTGAGGTGAATTGTTCTATTGCAATAGACATTGTGCCTTCCTAATAAAAATAAAACATGGCTTTTATTGTGAACAATACAAACAGGCTGCAGAGACACTGACCTGTCCGCTGTTGGCGAGATCGTCTACAGTCAGGCTGCTGTCCAGACAGAGAGCCAGACCAAAGTCACACAGACAGCAGGTCAGGTCGTTCTTCACCAGGATGTTGGAGCTCTTCAGGTCTCTGTGGACAATGGGCACCTGTGGGTGCAGCAAAGTTAGGATTTAGTGTCAGTTTTAAAGTAGAAACCATCAACGCTTCAGCAAACGTTAAAGAAACAGTAGAATGAACATGTGAGGGTTTGAAACTTTTAATGTGAAGCAAGAATTAAAGAAAGAAATGAGTTTAACTCAGTTTAGTTCAACAAAAAAATAAACGTTTCTGTTGTTTCTACTCTAGTTTCAATTGGTTCTCAGATTTGAAGCTGTAATGTGTGACTGAGCCACTGGGTGTCACACTGCTGCAGAAAACACTTCCTCCAAGAAAACTCCTCAGATCCTGAAGGAACCCAAACATGGAGCTCAGGAACAGCTCGTCGTTGAAGAACTTTATGTGATTCTGCCAGGAATGATCAGTCTCTTCAGTCCTACAAATGTTTCTCCTTCTATTATCTGTAATGAGTTCTCAACAACATGCTGGACAATAAATCTCTCCACTTCAGTCAGTATCTCACTGGGCTCTGACTGTTAAAGACTAGTTGGCAACTCAAAAAAAAAAAAAAGCATCTGTTCCGTTGCAGCCGACAGTAAATCTGAGGGTTTACGACCCAGTGAACTGCGAGCTGCGCAGCTGTGATTTGCACGACCGGTTTTTAAAAATCACAGTCTATTTTTGTGCGCACAGTTTGCAAAGCTATATTTCAGTCCGCACACATTATTTTATTGTCCACCACACCAGACCACAGACCTGCTGTTGCTCAATCAGTAGGGGTTAAAATAAAAATACAACTGCTCTTATCACTTTTTCCTCTCATCCGTTGATGGGGAGGAGCGAGCCTTAGGTGACATGGCGCTCACCTGGCACGACTCGCTCCAGAGTTAGCGTCAGGTGTGAGCGCACCTGTCAGTCACGTGGTGTAATAAATAGAGCTCAGGCCTTTGAAGGTGAAGCAAACAAGTGATTATAGCGATCACTGCATTTTATTTTGCCAGTGCAAACAATACAGTGTCTTGCTGGAAATACAGTATATGCTCTTTTTCATAATATGCACAAAAAAAGGTGGCAGAAAAATACAGCAGGGATATACGATTACAGAAACTCAACTTATGTCTGCAACAACTATTTTCAGAGATATTTTGTTTTAGTGGAGCTTTTGAGCGTGCTCAAAATCCGATGCGGTGCAAARATCTGGCCCTGTGACTCACGCAAAGAGACTGCGCAAACTTTTCCAGGCATTCTGGGGAGTCCCTCACAACCACCACCTGCTTTTTATTTTGTGCAGCACAAACAAGATATGGGATTTAAAGATGAAAACCAGCGAGGTGTGAGACGTGGTGTGTTACTTCCAGACACAAAACAGTGGCAAAGCAGAGACATGTTTCTATCTGTAACTGTGAAATGTGTCAGCTCCAACTGGGTCCAGTCTCTCCTCAGAGCAGAGGAGATACTTTTCCAGCTGCCCTATCACCTTCTACCAGCAGGACTGTGACTGTTTGGAAGTTCTTTAATTCAATTTAATTTAGTTTATTTATAAAGCGCCAAGTCACAACAAACATTGTCTCATATCTTTGTACACAAAACAATCAATCGAAGGAAGCCAGCAGATTGTGTTGAATCACTTCATCACAGTCTCCAGTCCTGAGCAGCACATAGCTGAAGGTGGAGAGGAAAAAGTCCTGTTTAACGTTAACTTTATTTATCAGATAGGAGGATGTTGTTCCTCTCAGTGAACAAACAGGATTTACTGATGCTGTGATGGTCTGCAGATGCTTGGTCTGCTGGCTTTCAGGCCAGACGTTTAGACTAAGATCATCACACATTGCGAAATGATGGAGTTGAAGCTGTTTTGATCAAAACTTGAAATTAATGTTACACACGGTGTTATGCAATATCGTAAGTTGTCATGCTCAGAGTGTGGTTTGGTGACTACCACATCAAAATCTGACAGAGGTGCAGCCATGTTCACTGCTGCAGCCATCTTGACCTGGATTTATTCCAAGTGTTAATCAGTTGTTCATCCAATGATCCATTTGTGCAAGTATCATTAAAACTCATCCAGGTCACTGCAGAAATTAGTCATCTAAAAACAAGTTGAAAATACTAGATTATAGTCTGAATCTTTCCAACGTATGTGAAATTATTTGCCAGTGGAATAAGACAGTCGCACCAGGTAGGACTTCTTGAAATAAAGAAAAATTGAGGTTCATAGGATTACTAATCTATCCTAATCTGCTACTGTTTAGTGTATCAGTCCCAAAACAAGATCAAAAATAAGTTTTGGCTGATATAAGATGGTAAGACTTAGATGGACTATTTTTGCAATGTGGCAATGAGATATTTTGCTAACAGACAGACACACAAACAAGGGTGAGGAAATCATCACCCACCTTTTGTCTTTTGGCAGCGGGTGATCAGTAAAGTTACTTTTTGATATTAAGAGTATCTGTACATGTCAGAACTGTATTTGTAAAAGTTTTAATCACTAAACTTTCTCTTTCAGTTTGTTTGATGTTGTAACTGGTTTTACATTGATTTGACTTTTACATCCTGTTGCATAACATCCTCTGACATGAATAATATAACCTGACTTAGTTCATGGCTCCATCATGATGTTGGTGAAACATTAAAGTATTAAATATTCACAAAGAACCACCTTAGGACGTCCACAGGGCAGCCGGTCACTGTGGAGGTGGGCGACCCCTTGGGCCAGAGAGCTGCTCAACACTTGCAGTTCCTCCCAGCTGACGACATGATGTGTCAGGTACTCCTACAGAGAGACCTTAAATATTATTCACGTGCTTCAAACCGATCACCGGACTCCTCTCATGATTGTGGTGCACTAACCTGAAGGTTTCCTCTGGAGTGGAAAGCCGTGATGAGCCAGTACTGTTTCTCCACCTTCCTCTCCTCAGCTGTGAGGAAGTGGAGGATGTTCTCGTGGCGCAGCTCTGTGTTGGAGAAGATGTCCTTCTCGTTCTTCCAAGAGGCGTACTCCTCGTAGGGGAAGATTTTCACCGCCACCGTTTCAAACTGATTTGAGGTGGTCTGCTTCAGTTTAGCCTTATATACCTGAGCAAAGCGACCCTTGCCCACCTGGGACATAAAAAAAAACATGGTTATAATCCAAGTGAAAAGCTGGGAACAGCTCTGCAGGACTGATTTGAACGCTCACCAACTGGTCCAGCTCTATTGGCAGCGGCTCAGTGTTGTGGTTTAGGTTGTTAGCGTGAGTGGAACTGCTGTCTGACCCGTCGTCGTCCACCATGATGGCACAGGCGTCGCTGCAGTCCAGACCTCCGGATTTAGGTTTGCGCAGTTTCAGTTTTCTTTCCCATTCCTGACTGAGCTGGCGACGCCGATGAACCCAGTACCAGTAGAACATCCCAGCAACCACAATCCCTGTCACCAGCAGGGGCAGAAGGCTGACCAGGATTACAGACATCAACGGGTCCGCTGGAGTTTGAGCAACAGCTAGAAGGACGACAGAGGAGAAGAAGATTAAAATCCAACCAACCCAAAACAAAAACCAACACATCAACCTTGTTTGGGTTTTATTTTAGTTATCAGAAATTAAACATTTCCTCAACTAAGTTGGAGACCAAGCTTATCTGAAGTTGAGATGGGTGAATGCAAAAATTTCTGTTGAAGAATGAAAATATTACTGTCATTCTGAGAGTGTTTAAAAAGTATGGATGTATAGATCACAGCTGTCAGCCTCAGGGTGTCAGCTTTGACTGACCCATGGATTCCATAGGAACAGTGCGGCTTCCTTCCTGGTTGTGGGACATTGGGACATCACAGCTTTATGTGGTATGAAAACACTGATTCTTTTTTCACTGAGTGATAAATATTGTAACCAAATGTATAATATAGACTAATATATGAGTCTATATTTTTCCTCTTTGGACTCCAGTCCCCTCTGCGCTGAGCCTACATGCCAACAAAGTGAGCAGTTAGTCTACATCCTCCTCTCTTTTCTGACTCTGACTGCCAGTTCGGACAGAACAACAGCCAACTCTCAGAGCTGCAGAGACACGAGTAAAACAGTTGAAAGCCTGTCTGCACCGGCTTGGCCTAGCATAGCCTGGTCTGCACTGGTCGGGCATCGTCTCAAACAGTGTCTCACTCCGTCTCTCGAGGGATTGTTAACCTCCTGAATGAAAACACATGCCACATGGACAGGCTACAGGAGTTCTGGTGAAGGGCTGAAACTTCCTACGTTTTATATGTTCTGAGCAAAACTTTCCAGCCTCAAGGACTTAGCTCAAAGTTAAACTCATTCACACGAGTTTGGCTCCTGGTATTATCAGTGTGCATCGCCAATTCAGTGCACACTATTGTGATTCGTTTCCCATCCAAGTCATCTCAACTTTGCCATGCTTCTCCTCCTGCATACTTTGTCCTAGAGCTGCCATTGTAATTTATATCTGTAAAGCCCCTGTGCCAAATGATGGCTATGCCTTTTGGTGCCTGTAAAACATAGTTTTTGAAATATTAATGTTTCATAAATTATAATGGCAGTCAATGGAGCCTTGTATTGGTCCAATACTGCCTCCTGCTGCATCTACACAATATGGTACTGCACCATAGTTTCATAATATTTAAACTCAGTAGTTCAGTGATTACAATATTAATATGATTGTATTTTGATGTTTTACTYTAATARTGTCTTWATYTTGTCCTATTGCTGTAATATATTGCACTTAAGTGTCAATAATTGCATTGGCAAGGTAAACTTTTTCTGTATACATACAATCCAATCCCTGGGATTGACCTCTGCCATATCTCCTATAGTCTCATAATGAGCACTGTGGGCTTTCATGTGGGAGATCAGGGTACAAATCCAGCTACTGCAACTTTAAGAAAAATCTCTTCAAACTTCTTATTGTCACACAATTACCTTAATTACAAATGCCTGCTGATGTGACAGGTACAAGCTGGTATACTGTAGAAAACACATTTGAACTTGGTCAAAGTTCATTCTGAAAGTCCAATGCTCCTGCCTACATTGTCCTACAGCTGCCATTGTAATTTCTATCTGAAAAGGTCCTGTGCCAAATGATTGCTATGCCTTTTGGTGCCTGTACAACTTGTAGTTTTTGAAATATTAATGTTGAAACTTTATTCCAAATTCATAAAATGGGAGGTAATAGAGCCTTGTAATGGTCCAATACTGCCCCCAGCAGTTCTCAACTTGGTACTGCACCATAGTTTTTAGTATTTGATCTCAATAGTTCAGTGTTTACAATACTAATATGATTGTATTTTGATGTTTTACTATAATATTGTCTTAATATTGCTCTATTGTTGTAATATTATGCAGTTTAGTGTCAATAATTATATTGGCAATGTGGACTCCTTCTGCACACATACAAACCAACCAACCCCTGGCACCATACTCTGCCAAAGCTCCAACAGTCTAATGGTCTATGTCATGGTCTTTCTTGTGGGAGATCAGGGTTCAAAACCCAGCTAATGCGACATTAACAAAAAATCTATTCCAACTTCATATCGTCACTCATTTACCTTAATTACAAACACCTGCTGACGTGACAGGCTCAAGCTGGTTTAGAAAACTTATTTGAACTTGGTCAAAGCTCATTCTGCAAGTCCAATGCTCCTGCATACTTTGTCCTACAGCTGCCATTGTAATTTCTATCTGTAAAGGTCCTGTGCCAAATGATTGCTATGCCTTTTGGTTCCTGTACAACTTGTAGTTTTTAAAATATTAATGTTTAAACTTTATTCCCAATTCTTATAATAGGAGTCAATGGGGCCTTGTAATGGTCCAATACTGCCCCCAGCTGTACTCAACTTGGTACTGTACCATAGTGTTTTGTATTTCATCTCAATAGTTCAGTGTTTACAATACTAATATGATTGTATTTTGATGTTTTACTACAATATTGTCTTAATACTGCTCTTTTGTTGTAATATTATGCATTTTTGTGTCAATAATTGTATTGACAATGTGGCCTCTTTCTGCACACATATAAACCAACCCCTGCCACCACCTTCTGCCACAGCTCCATTGGTCTAATGGTCTATGTCATGGACTTTCATGTGGGAGATCAGGGTTTAAAACCCAGCTAACGCAACTTTAACAAAAAAATCTCCTCCAACTTCATATTGTCACACAATTACCTTAATTACAAACACCTGCTGATGTGACAGGCACAAGCTGGTATAGAAAACACATTTGAACTTGGTCAAAGTTCCTTCTGCAAGTCCAATGCTGCAGGCAAAGCCATGCTACATGGCAATGCACACTTGTTTTTACATTGTAAAAACCCATGTCTAGTTACTTTTGTTTTAAACCTAAAAACATACCTGCAAACCATGTATTTTTTCAAAACATCACAGGCCAAATTGAGATCAAATTAGTGATTATTTTTCTCTATTTTTCTTTTGAAAATGATGTCAAATGAATGGGAATGCTCTACGTTTCCACAATTATAATACAAAAGACGGACGGTAAATGTCCAGTTTTCTTCTTTTTATGTTCCAAAGTCTAAAATAAAACACATCTGGTTTGACTTGGATAAACTTGTCTGTATGATTTTGTCACTGAAATAATTTAAAGACTATAAGACTGTCACCAGACAGTTGGAGGTCTCTGTGACTACAGCTGCACACAAACAACAAACATGGAGGAGGCTCAGTTCTGTTCTGGGACTGCTTTGCTTCATCTGATACAAGGTGCCTTAAATCTGTCCAGGATACAACACAACCTCAAGACTATCAAGGCATTCTGGTGCAAAATGTGCTGCAGTGTCGGCAAGCGTGGTCTCAGTTGCAAATTTTTGCTCCTCCAACAGGATAATGACCCCAAACACACAAGAAAGGTTTAAAAGACATTGGACTGAAGTGGTGTTCTAAATCCTGTTGGAACAAGTTGAAACATGCAGTCTGAAGAAAACACCTTTTACACAAAAACGTACCAACCATGGGGCCAATATTACTTCAGCTTCTGGCATTACATTTCTGGGCAAAAACACACAAACAAAAATGGCTTGATAGCAGGTTGTTGGACATGTCTTGTAAATATTGAAATTAAGGTGTGTTTTGTCCATTTTTTTTAGTTTCAGCAGCTTAATAAAAGTCAAAGCTCTTGTGCAAGCTAAACATAAATATGAATTTGAAAGAATGCCTCGGAGCTCATAGTGACTGAATGCAAACATTGCTGATGAGTGCATTTACCTGCCAGGCTGACACATGCTCTGACCTGTGCTGCGGTGCGTGGGGTGATGGCTGCGGTTGTTCTGAACCATCATACCCTGTCATTACAGCTTCATTAACTGTCTGATTCACACACTTTAACCTGTCTAATCAGGGATCAGTACACTCACTTTCACTGCATGTGAAGGAGTGAAGATCGTCAGTTTATAGTCATATGGCAATGTGTGTGTGTTTATGTACATGCTTTTGGTACCTGATGGGGATGATTTTTGACCATTTTCCCTGTACACACAGCCTGGTGAGGACCTACTGTTCCTTACGTGGACAAAATCCCAGCTAGGATCAGGTATGTACCTCTGAGGTTAGGTTTGTTGTAAAGGGTCAGTATTAGACTATATAAATGAACAGTAAATGAATGGAAGTCAATGCAAAGTTCCCATAAGGATAGAAAAACATACGTGTGTGTGCAAGAACACAAAACCATCAATCATGCTGAGATTGCTGGGAGGAAAATGTAAAGACAGTGAATTAAATTACAAGCAGAGACTTTTTCCCCCTTTTTTGAGTTGAAAGAACTTTAGAKGTAAAGTTGGTTGCAGAATGAGACAGTCAGACACTTCCACCTCTGTACTTTGGATGTTTTTTTAAGGTTTTTARGATTGCTCGGAGGTTTGGGGAAAGTTTAAGTTTATTTCCTTTCTGTCTRGCTGCCACGATGAGGGAGTGCACGTGGAAGTGTAAGCAGTGTGTGTAGGTTGTTGTGCATTTCAGGTGTAAACACAGCCAACCAATCAGTGCCAAGACAAACTGACTCATGTAMCATTTTCCAATGAAGACGCCAGAGTGTTCTCATGCTTTGCTCKGAGAGGGTTCGCATGCATGCAGCTCATTCAGAGACAGGGCCTACATTACCTGTTGGTGTGTAGGATAGAAAGACTGAAGCTTTAAATTTGACATCTCTGACTCATAATCCTGATGATGGTTCCTCTTTTAATCAAACCTTGTAAATAATGTTATGCAGTCTCATGATATGTTGTGAGCTGTGACACTCAGAGTGTGTGCTGAGGAGCACTCAGCAACTACCACATCAAATTTGAGTAGTTTTAGAGTTACAGTATCTGTCACGTTGGATACTTTTAACTAGCTGTGGCAGACATCTTGAATTAGGTTGGCTTCAAAAGTTCATTTGTTGTCGATGTATGTAGGGGGTCACCTCGAGTGAAATAAACAAGGAAACTGGCTTTGACCCCACGCCTCTGACGGGCCCTTTAAAGAGACAGAACTCTGTTCCG